CATGAATGTTTGAAAAACCAAGGAAGAAATTTTTCTCATGGAGAAAGGAAGAAATACTTCAGCCCAGTGCAAATTCAGGTTGGGCAAAGAAGTCGGCTGGACCAAGTGTCAAATTACACCAGGTTCCACATCCTCTTCTGGCTCTGGTCTGAACCTCTGGCAGCTCCCTGTCAATATCTTGCTGCAATCGTTGGATTGCCTTCAGCAAAATTTGGCATGTGATGTCTATACTTTGGCATTCTGTTGGGTCACCTTTTGGAATAGGTGCAAATATGGACTTTTTCCAGTCAGTTTGCCCATTAGCCACATTGAAGATATTGAGTGTGGTCACACAGCATGCCCACAGGAAGTCCCTCAGTTCAGAAGGAGCCCAGCAAAGACAGAGGCTGGTAGTGGGCAAGAGCACAAGAGGAGTGCTGGAGTAACACACTTCCATCCCCACTTCAGATGCCTGTTACCTGATTCTATCAACACCTCATGATCACACAGGCTGGTGTGCTTCTTCCATGTGGGCTTGTTGCTTCGCTGCTAGATGGCTGCTTGTTTAACTTCAGAGCCTTTAAGACCCCAGACACTCTTTATCTTTTGATAGCTGGGCACCATCAGCTTTCTTCACCACATTTGCTTGTGTACCTATTTTGTCTTCGATCTTGTTAGGAGGGTGAGCATCACAAAATGCTAGATTGCTAGAACAAATTATTTTACGTGGAGGGAGGGCTTGAGCAGAGGCCCAAAGTCTGTCCACTTCCTAAATGTATTGCCATATAAATATATGTACCTATGCCAATACCTCTATTTTTATGAATTAATGTATTTACAAAGTGCACACCTATGTTTGTACCTCTGTCCATAGCTTTGCTTCCTAGATCTTTCCTGTTGCCGGTTACCTTCCTCCTTTCCCACTGTCATGCTCGCCCTTCTGCCCCTTAGTAATTCCTCTCAGCCAGGTTGCTGTTTCTCCAACACCCCCAGGATCCATACATCCTCCTCATTATTGATTTTAATTCCCCAGTTGTTCCCCTGTCTGTGGTGGTGTTTGCTCACCGCTCTCTTCCCCTGCCTCCTCCTCCCCACAAATCCCTCCGGAGCTGTTGGTCCTGTTGCTTTTTCCTTGGGCTTGCTTCCCATGCCTGCCTTATATAAGCTGGCAAATAAACAATAATGGAAACAAACAGAAGAAAAAGAACTAGCAAAAAAGTATACATGATTCCGGGTCTGTCTGCTGACGTTTATGACTATCTTCCCCACTGGTCCTGGAGGGTCCCAGGAACTGCCCCTCCTAGCCTGAAGTCAATTTTGGGGGCTCCTCAGGGGCTTTGTGGCTTTGCTTTGCTACCATTGCTGATCTGTTATATTCCCTTGTTGGTTCACCCCACTGTGGGATTTTCAGACTGTCCTCTGTCGCAGTGTGTTCCAGCGAGGGGACATCATGTCTCCAGCTGTTGTCAGCCTTACCATCCTCTCTGCCTTAGCAGATCCCTGCATGGACATAATCCTCAGGGCTTGGGGCTTGGTGTGCCCATATGGGGTCTAGGCGCTCGCTCTTTCCGTTTTGGTTTGCTTCCGTGTGGATATGGCCGGCTGGCTGCTGGTGGTTTTGAACTGCTGATCGCCCGTTCAACGTGGAACCATTATATCACCAGGGCTCCTGACACACGGACCTAGCCAGATGTAATACACAGCAATAAATGGACTACATCTGTGGGAAAGGAGAATGGAGGATTACAATATTGGCAGCCAAAAGGAGGCGAGAGACTGGGAACATCAATTGCTCACAGGTAATATCAGGTTGAACTTGAAGAAAATCAAAACAAGTCCACGATAGTCAAAATAGAACCTGGAGTCTATCTTCTGAACTTCAAGAACATATCAGAATAGGCTTGATACACTGAACACTAATGACAGAATGTGGTTGGAAGGGGTGCTGGCCCCCCACCACTAATCATGGGTTTGATAGGCACAATTGTATGGTTGAGATATATAAATATTATCAAGGGTAATGTAACAAAGAGGAATTGCTGAAACCCTGGTGCGGACTGAGCACGATAGTGGAAAGTAAAGAAGGAAAGTAAAGGGAAATAGAGGAAAGAGCTGGGAGGCAAAGAGCATTCATAGAGGTCTAGATAAAGACATGTACATAGGCAAATATATTTATATATGCGGATGGGGAAATAGACCTATGTGCCTATATTTATAAGTTTAGTATTAAGGTGGCAGAAGAACATTGGGCCTCTGCTCAAGTACTCCCTCAATGCAAGAATACTTTCTTCTATTAAATTGGCATTCTATGATGCTCACCTTCACGACACAACCGCTGAAGACAAAGC